GGGGGGAGCAGGGGGACTGTGGGGGAGGCTGTTGGAACGGGGGCAGGGACAGAGGGCAGTGGGTGCGGGGTGGGAGGTACAGGGGGAACTGCGGGGGAGGCTGAGGGAACAGGGTCAGGGTGGGGGTTGAGGGCAGTGGGGCTGAGGGGAGCCAGGTGAGCCCAGCAGTGCTTACCTGGAGCGGCTCCCAGGAAGCATCCAGCAGGCAGGTCCCTCCCAGTCCCTCTGGCTCCTTCCTATGGTTGGGTCGGGTCAAAGGGAGGGGGGCAGGGGCGGCGGGTGGGGGGGGTGTCTCTCTGCCCGAGTCTACAAGCCCTGCCCCGCTGCAGGACGCAGGGGAGCGAGACCTCCTCGCTGCCTCTCTGTGTGCCGGGGCAGGGGCAGGGCTGCGCTCTGCAGGCTCCGGGCGGCCGGGCGGCGGGCCCCGTGGGCTGACACCACCACACTGGGAGCTCTAAGCTGCGCGATGCCCCAGGGAGGAAAGGTGAGTGGCACCAGCGGCGCCGGCTTGCCGCGGTTCCCCCAGCGCGGCTGCCCTGTCAGCGCTTTTGGGTCTTTAAATAGCCGTCCGGGGGGAAATCCTGGACATTTTTAGCTTTTTACAAATTCCCCCCGGACGGCTATTTAAAGACCCAAAAGCTGGACATGTCCGGGAAACCTGGACATATGGTAACCCTAGGAGGGATGAGCCCCTCGTCGGCACCTGGTGGGGCAGGGATCGGCCCCCTGTCGGCACGTGAGATGAGGTAGATCGGCTCCTCATCGGCGCATGTGTGGGAGGGAATCGGCCCCGCTTCACCACGTGGGGTAGGGCCATCGGCCCCTCATGGCACGTGGGGCAGAGGGATCAGCCCCTCGTCGGCATGTGGGAGAGGGGATTGGCCCCTCGTCGGCGAGTAACGGGGGAGGGGCTCACAGCTGTGTTGTCTCCTGCAGGCGCTCCCCGGTGCCAGTCGGGCTGGGACCAGAACCAAGGGAGGTGCTACCTTTTCTCCCGGACTAACCAGTCCTGGGAGGCAGCGAGACACTCCTGCTTAGCCCAGAATGCTGATCTGGTGGTGATCAACGACCCAGAGGAACAGGTATGAGGCCTCGGCCCAACCCATCCCTGGGGTGTAATGACCCCTGGGCAGAGGGCCGGCATGAGGCTTCGGCGCTGTTTGGACCTGACGGGAAGAAAGGAAGGGTGGGAGTTCCCAGTGCAGGGCTGGAGCAGGACTCCAGCAGTGATAAGGCCTAGCCCTGGCTCCCACACAGGGGTGAATTTTGCCTGGATGGGGCAGGAGGGGCTTGGGGAAGCTGCACAGAGAAGGGACCACGTGGAGCAAACAGTGGGGAGGTTTGAGGAGGGCTCAGAAAGCAGAGCTGCTTGGCAGATAAGAGAGGTGGTTACCCGGCAGGGTTGTCAGACTCCCTGAGGTGCTAGGAACACGAAACTATCTTGCCAGACTGCAGAGCCCATAGGTTACTGCTGGGAGAGAAGAGCCAGGACTCGACTGTAGTGCCACAGGTGATGACTTTAATTTTTCCAGGTGGGTGCTCCACCCCCCTCGGCCCCGCCTCCACTCCACCCCTTCCCCCGCCTATTCTCGCCCCCGCCCCTTCCCCCAAGACCCCACCCTTGTCCTGCCTCATCCCACCCCTGCTCCGCCCCCTCCCCCAAGCACCTCCTACCGGCTGCGGAACAGCTGATCGGTGGCGGGGTGGCCAAACAACTGATGGGTGGGTGGCTGGTGGGACCTGAGAGCCCCAGGGCACCCACAGAGTCAGTATCTATGGTAGTGAATGTATTTCCTTTGGTTAGTGCTTTCCAGCACCAGGAATGGGCCAGCACCGTGGCTGGTGCACTGCAGCCGTCATCGGCGCGATCCCGGTTGACGTCAGCTGGGGATCTAGCCCAAAGTTCCTGCAACAGGAACTTGGTGACAATTCTGCTGAGGCCTGAACCAGACCAGGTCCTGGCTGGCTCTGCTGGGCATATGGGAGGGAAAAGCAGGAACAACTTAGGTTAGTCCCTGCAGCCAGCAGCCCTGGCTCTGATACCCACAGGGATGAGGAAGCCCGTCTAGGGGCAGGTTTTTACAGTCACTTTCAAAGTGGAACAGCCCTTATGAAAGAGGAACTCGGACGGCGCATTCGTAACGCTCACCCTTATCTCCTGCTGGATCCTATCGTAATAACTGGCCTGACAATTTACCCTCACTGTGAACGCAGAGCTGTAAAAGTGTGAGCGTTCCTGAGATGGCACAATGACCGAGAGTAACCAGGGTTGATGGGAAAAGGTCCCAAACGGGAGTTAGTCCAAATGAAAGAGCCTCCTGCTGTAACTCAAAGACTGGGTTCAGATCACGCCTGGCAACCAAGAAACGTGTGAAACCAGAAAGGAGTGAATCCAGTGTTGGAGATTAAACCTACTTGGTGGCCAAAGGAACAAGGGGATGGGTTGTTCCACCCATCACTCCCTTTTGGGGCCCTGAAAGAGACATTGGGGAGAAAAATAGACTCTGGAATGAGCTTCACCATCATGGCTCCTCCCTCCCCCACATCTTCTGGGACCCCAGACCTTTGTCATCCTGAGCCTGAGACATCCTGACCAGACGGGGCCAGAGAGAGGGACCCAGATGATGTCACCTCTACCGGCTCCAGCTAATCCCAACCACCACCTGGGATGAAACAGGTCAGACTGTAACAACAACAGCCGCTCCAGCCTGTCTCAGCAGCAGGATGGTTGTTACCAGCTCTGACACCATCTAAGAGACAGTGCCGGGTTTACAATGGCACCGGGCCCACACTTAGAAGGGGCCATGGCACCCGGACTGTGGCCCTGCTGTCACGGAGTCACAGATCGTGCCCTCTCTTGGCCCTGTGCAGTCCCTGGGGGGAACCCCCTTCAGTGTGACAGCCCTTCTCGGGGGTCCACTTTCTCTTGGGGGTTAAGCCCCTCCACCTTCTGGAACTGCATTTCTCTGAGCCTTAGCACGTGGGTGCCCTCAGGGAGTCTATTTGCTCTGGACCCCCAGGGCCTCCACTCCTAGAGGGAATAATGCAACCCTGTTCTCTAGACCGGAGCCACTCTCAGGCTCCTAAAACAGGAGGCTTTATTGAGCATCTGAACACAGCACAGGAAACTCTCAGGGCCTTGGGCTTGGCCTCCCTCAACTCAGCACATTCAAGTCTCCCCTGCATCCAGGTGGGCTCTGCTTGCTCTCCTCTCCAGCCCAGAGCCCCTCCTGCTTCCCAGCTGGGCATCCGATATCACCTCCCCCAAGCCCCGCCTCTGTCCATTGTCTTCTCTCCAAGTAAACAGGGTCGCCTGGGCCTCCTCTCCTCTCCTGTCCTCTGGCTGGAACCGGCTGGTTAGGTCACCGGGGTCCTCTCTTCACAGCCCATTGTCCTCCCACTGGCCAGAACCAGCTGGACTCCTGAGCTGGGTCTCCCGGTGACCACAACCCCAGGTCACCACTTGCTGGGGTGTCCATTCTCCGGTCCTCTGTAACAACAAACTCCATCTCCCATCACCTCATTAAACCAGTAAAACCCAGGGAAACTGAGTCCCACCCCCTCTGCCTGCAAATCATTGGGAAAAAAAAAACAAGGAAAAACCAAGAACACCCCTCCCTACTTCATCACACCTGCCCCCTGTGTTCCACCCACGTTTTGCGCCAATGCCCCACCCCTACCCGGCCTCTCACTGTGGCCCTGCCTGCCACTCACTCCTCTCCGCTCCCTCCCAACTGTGCGCGCGGTGGGCGGGGCCTTGGAGGGGAAGAGGTTGAGCAGGGGTGGGGCCTTGTGGCAAAGCGTGGGTGGGGCAGGGGACGGGGGCCACAGTACAGGTGCCAGGGCTCACAAATGATTAATTTGGCCCTGCTAAGAGTCCGTCACACAAGGGGAGCGGATTCCTTCTAAAAAAAAAAAAATCTGTATCTCAAAGGGGACGGGACCAAGGGAGGCTGGTGGACTGAAAGCCTGGCTTAGTGCTTTATAGTTCAAAGGCTTTCCCTTGTTTTTCCGTCTTCCCTTTGTCTTTGATCAAAGGTTAAAAGGGTTTTTAAGGGAACTGAGCAGGCCAGGTTAGCGCTGTTTAATGTCGGCCAACGACTGGGTTCTGGTAACATCTTAGGCCCGTATATTCCAGCTAAATTAATACACCAGGCCCTCCTGGACTCCCTGTGCATTACCTTCCCCAGCTGAGATGTGCCCAAGTTTGACTGCAGGGTTGGGATCTGTTTGGTGGGGTGTGTGGGTGATCTATGCCACAGCCCCCACTGCAGGACCCAATACCCTCCCCCCCCTTCCAACATCCCCAAGGCTCGGGGCCTCCTTTCCCCACCCCAGGCTGAGACCATCGCCAACCCCTGATCCTCCGACTGTCTCTCCATCCCCCGCACCCTCCACTGGAAGGAGAGGAGAATCGGGCTCCTTGCCTCCTCCTCTGACGTCTGCAGCACTGAGCGCACTCGCTGATGGGCCGAGTGCCCAGGCCATCCCTTGGGGTTAGTTCCTGCCACGGGAGACGCCTCAGGATCTGGCTTCAGTTCTAACCACCCCATTCTCTGTGTCATCCTCTCTAGAATTACGTGGCTATTAAAGCCGGTTCCATTCGTCACTGGATCGGCTTCACCGACCAAGGGACTGAAGGCGTCTGGCGCTGGGTGGACAATACTCCTGTGGGATTTACGTAAGCATGGGGCGATCCTCTGCTCTCCCCTTCCTGCCCCCGGCCTTCCCCAGCTCCCCCTGCAGGCGCTTTCTACCTCAGGAGCTGCAAGGCTGAGGCCAGGGATGGATCCACTTGGGTTTGATTTAATGCGCTGAGGACTGAACGACTCGAGGATTTATCGGTCCCCGCAGGTCACTGTTGGCAATCTGGCCCAGGTCTCTAGTGACCAAATGGCATTGCTGGTGGGTGACCTCTGTTTGAAACAAGCTTGCCGGGTCTCAGCCCAGTTCCCAGTGGGAAAAGCATCCACAGATTGCACTGAGTGCTCGTTGGCCATCACAGCCAATGAACCGAGGACGGAATGGGTCCCAGGGACAGAGCGTCCCTCTCAGCCTACAGCGGGGTCTCTCCAAGGCTGGTCTGGTCTGAGACATTGTGGTTAGGGGAAGCTTGTGCTGCCATGGTGTGTGTGGGTAGCAGCCTCTACCCCTGCACCAGGGCCTTCAACAGCGCAGCCCTCCCCCACTTACTCCATTAGCTGGTAGTAGGTTCTTATCCTCTAGTGGTCCAATCATGACATCTGCCCTGTGAGCAGGGAACGCTGTCTCTGGCCACACATTCATGTGGATACTTCAGAATAAGAGATCTGCCTCCTCTAGGGGGAATGTCACAAACCCTTGAGACTGGGGTGCAAATTGTTCAACCCCGCCACTCCCCATGCAGAGAGTATTCAGCATCATGGGCAGCCATATTGGTCCCTCTACTTGCTTTAATCCCCCCTAGCGCTGGATTAAAGTAATGGAATGGGAGTGACGGGTTTAGTCACAGAAACCTCCTTGGGACTGTCACCTGATGTGCTGAGACTACCTCTGAGCCCATTTTCTCTGTAAGGTTGGGCCTCCAGAACCCTGCATTGTTCAGCCAGACATGCCAGTCTGCTCCAACACAGGCCCAGGGTCTGAACCACACGCCACAAAGATGCAGATTTAACTGAAAACAGCTTAAGAAGAGCCCCTGTCTCCAGCACCCAGACACCCAGCTCCCACTGGGATCCAAACCCCAGATGAACTCGTTTTACTCTGTATAAAGCGTATACCGGGTAAATTCATAAATTGTCCGCTTTTATAACTCTGATAGAGAGATATGCACAGCTGTTTGCTTCCTCAGGTATGATTAATAAGCAAAAGTGATTTTCTTAAGTATAAAAAGTAGGATTTAAGTGGTTCCAAGTAATAACAGACAGAACACAGTAAGTCACCAAGCAAAATAAAACAAAACACGCAAGTCTAAGCCTAAGACATTAAGAAACTGAGTGGAGATAAAATCTCACCCTCAGAGATGTTCCAATAAGCTTCTTTCACAGACGGGACTCCTTCCTAGTCTAGGCCCAATCCTTTCCCCTGGTACAGTTCTTGTTAGCTCCAGCTCAGGTGGTAACTAGGAGATTTCTCATGACTGGAAACTCCTTTGTTCTGTTCCACTCCCTTATTTAGGTTTGGCACATGGCAGGATTCTTTTGTCTCTCTGGGACCTCAGCCCTCCTTCTAAATGGAAAAGTCCCAGGTTTAAGATGAATTCCAGTACCAGGAGACATGGTCACATGTCCTGTGAGACCCCAAGCCTTCATTCTGCCTGGCCTGACTCACAGGAAGGCTTGCAAGTAAACAGAGCCATTTACAACCAATTGTCCTAATTGATGGGAGCCATCAAGGTTCCAAACCACCATTAATGGCCCACACTTTGCATAATTACAATAGGACCTCAGAGTTACATTTCATATTTCTAGTTTCAGGTACAAGAATGATACATTTATACAAATAGGATGACCACACTCAGTAGGTTATAAGCTTTGTAATGATACCTTACAAGAGACCTTTTGCATGAAGCATATTCCAGTTACATTATATTCACTCATTAACATATTTTCATTAAATCATATGGAGTGCAACATCACAGTGGGCCTAATACTCCATTGCTTAAGGGCCCTTTACGCTGCTCTGGCAGCATCAAGGGATTTTGAAGGAGATTTAATCTCCTGCCCCACCGTCGCCAGGATATAAGCAGCATAAAGGGGCTGGAGAAGAGCTGGCACAACAGCCCCTGGCGCAGGGGTGGGGCTGCAGCCCTTCTGGGCTCTGGCTGTTCTAAGCTTCCCAGAACCCCACCAGGGCCTGAGCATAAGTTAAGAACCCTGAGGCTGCTCCTGGTTACACTGAGGGTGGGGCCCAGCTTACTGGGGGTGTATCTCCTCTGGGACAGGGAGTCGGCGGGCTAAGGGCTCATCTCTCTCTTCTCGTTCAGGTACTGGAATGAAGGGGAGCCCAATAACCTGCTCACAAGGAGCAACGGCACTGAGGACTGTGCCCACCTGTTGGACACCAGCCTGTGGAACGACGGACCCTGTAGTTTCTCTTACAGGTGGATCTGTGAAAGGGCCACCACTGTGTAAACAGCCCTCTCATCCCCCGGCTCTGAACACAGGCTGAAATTCCCATGAGGGAATTCCCGTTGTGCTCTTGTGCTGACCCGTTGCCCAGGGCTGAATCTCACCGACATCCCACAGATTGCACTGAGTGCTCGTTGGCCATCACAGCCAATGAACCGAGGACGGAATGGGTCCCAGGGACAGAGCGTCCCTCTCAGCCTACAGCGGGGTCTCTCCAAGGCTG